GTCTGTGTTTGCACGCGTGTATCTCAAGTTCGGCTGAACCGATTTTGATGAAATTTTATATGTAAGTTTATTTCGATCATGGCACGAATTGATCAACTTTTGGTATATATCAGGCCTCGGGAACTGCATTTTTTAGAGGGCCTGTTTTACATTTTTGATCATTTTGAATAAAATATTCAACCGATTTATTTCAAATTTTATATATAAGCTTCGCTCGACCGTCCGCGAAACCTCCTAAATTTTGGAAGAAATCAGGCATCAGCAACTTTTTTATAATATTCTGTAACACTTTCACTGAACTAGAAAATACACATTGCGGTCGGTTATGTGCTGACCACATCAGATTATTTTATTTTAGTCTCTCTCTAAGAATTGATTTCAAATATACCTATGTAAAAATAATACAGATTTTCAAGAGCATTTACATTAACTACATTAACATAGTTTTCGAAAAGTGGCATTCAGTATAATATTTAAAAATTATACTGAAGAAACCAATAATATTAAAAATCATTTCTAATTATTATTTTTTTCTCAATATTCTTCTATTACTAATTCTGTAAAGCATATAAAAAACATGTCCATTTAAAAAAAATTATTTTATTTACTTTAATTTTTAGAGTGAATTGGTTTCAAAACCCTATATTTTTTGAGAAAATATGGTGTGAATTGCGTTTTGCTTCTCACGTACTGGAGTTTCTATTGAAAAAATATAAAATATACTATTTTAGTTCGAAATACGGCCGGTTCAGAAACGGCCTAAGTATTAAAAGTTTTAGTAAAAAACAAAAATTTTATCATTTAGGGAGAAATAAAATTAAAAAATAAATTGGTCTATATATATAACAGAGTTAAACTTGGATAGTATGAGTTACAATAACGCATAGTAATTGACTAGATAATTTCGTTTAATTAAAAAATATTATGGAATTGATATATGCACATAACAATGCATAATATACATTGTAATTAAAATTTTGAACAATATTAAATTTATAGCTTTTTATATTACTTGATGAGATATCTAATACTGTTCCACAATTAAATTGTGATTTTTTTTCTATTAAATTAATTTTCCCATATTTAATGGGATTGAACTTGAATATTTCTGGAACATAATGGAAATTTTTGTAAATGAAAACTTGTTCAATAATGCCATACTCAAATTTATTTAGATTTATTAAAATTTTCTATCCAACTGGTAATTGTGTTGTAAACTTTTTGATTTTGAGTTTCACGTGCATGTCAATAACCTAATATAGATGTAACATATAAGTAAAAAGTGTGCATTTTAATTTATAAATAATTTTAATTTACCGCTTAAGTGTTTTTTTTTTTTTTTTTTTTTTTCATACAGATAACAACAAAATTTATGTAGGTGGTTTCTAAAAAATATTTGAAATGATATGGGTAGATGACAAAAATACTAAAGGATAAAAGAAAAATGAAGACAAAGAATATAAAAAGAAATAGAAAATGTAGAAAGAGATAGAAACTAAGAGAAGGACGGGACGGAGAGAAGAAGAAGAATGAGAGAAGTAAAAGAGAACAAAAAAAAGAAATGTCGATGGTTTTATTAGCGGAAAAAGATTGACATTTTAACTTTCAATTTTTAACATAGGTCCTCTTTTCATGGAAAAATGAAAATCCCCTAAAAAAGACAAAAAAAAATTTCATTCGTAAATTTTTATTAGTTGGGTAACAAAACAAAATGGAAAAGAAAAAAATATCGAAAAGAGGTAAAAACAGAATAAAAAGAGTAATGAAACAATGATAAAACTGTCTGGGAAAAAAAGGGATATTTATTGCAGAAAACAAAGAAAACTAATTCCGTTTACATAACATTGGCTGTATCTCTTCCCTTCTTTAACGCTATATTTACTCAATATTTTTTCAGTATATTTTTATATGTTAATTTTTTGGAAGTTCTTTGAAAATGGTAAAAAAAATGAAGCCTTATTTGTGATATATTTTATAAAATGTAATTTAAGATCATACCCTAGGACATTTTGAAGGGTTTTTATTGATTTTGATTGTAATATTAAGCATTTAAAACTTCAATTTCTTCACACTTATGAATTTTTTTGAAATGCACGATGAAAACAATTTTAAGAAAATTACCTAGAAGTGACAGAAGAGTATACCTCGTAATACTGTTCCAAATTTAATTCGTACAAAGTTCTTTGTCATAATTTTGAAACTTAAAATTCCAGCGTTTTCAGTAACTTTCTTCAATAAAATCGAATCTCAATTGAAGCTATACTTAAAAAGGATTTTAGTTTGAAAACGAAAATTTTAGATTTTTATTCATTTTTGAATAATTGTCGCACTGTTCAATTCTGTATTGTATTTTCAATGACAAATTTACTCTAACAAAAATAGTTTTTGTTTTGCCAAATTTGATCACATAAATTTTATAAAAAATACTTTTATCTTATACTTCTAGTTCTATATAATTTTAAATCATTATACATATTTTTTTTTTATTTATTCTCTACTTGAGCTTGACAGGAATTTTATCTTTATTTAAAATAATAAAAAAATTTTAAATATAAAAAATAATATTCAAATAGCTATACTATGAATAAATAACAAACACTTTCATTTTGCCCTTGTTTACATTTTACATTTTTTTATTTTATTTTTTATAGTGCTTTAATTTTTTTTTGTTTTGTATAATTTAAACATAAAAGGATTAAGTAATTTTGGGTGAATTTCATGAATTTTTTAAATTTAGTGTCCCATATTATTAGTGTCCCGTATAAAGAAGAAAATTCTTATATAACAAATAAAATATTCAGAATGAAAGTCTAAAATATAGGAATTAGATTGATTTCTTTATTAAACATTCTATATTCAGAGGAAAGAAAACTGTACAATTTTCGACTAACACTGAAATACACTAGCAATGAATTTGAACATATTCATAATAAGAATGGTATATTAGACTAACTACAGTTTTTATTTACATTTGAATGTATGAAAATTTAGTGAACATTTTTGGGACATAAAAAATTCAAATTTGTTTCAATATTGATTGATAATTGATATTTTTTTCTTTTAGTGTTATGTTGATCTTTAAAATACAAATTTTGCTTTACAAATTCTAAAATAGATAATTTAATTTATAGTACATTATTAGTGCTATTATTGCAAAGGTATAGTGCGATTATAGAAAGATGATGAGGGTAGTTTTACTTTGAATTCTGACAAAAAAACAGTAAGTTGTTAAAATATTGTTTTCCATATTTGTGGTTGTAAAAAGGAAATGAGTTAAAATGCAAGAGAATATTGAACAAGGTGATTTTACGTTTTTAGTATTCTACACTAATACCAATAGAGTATATCATTATTTCGATTTTGATTGTGTGTCATAAAACAATTTGTGCCAATTTTTCAACACAATTTAAACTCTCTAAGAACATGAAAGTTAAGCAAAAATTAATTATTTTCTTTAAGTTTTCTTTAAAATGCACATAATAGTTAAGCCTCGAAGTAACACTTTTTTTTTTGATAAATTTATATACTCGATGTCATTGTCACATTCCGTTATTATGGTATTTCTTGTCAGATTCAATTCCTCTCAACTATATTTTTCATTTTGAATTAGGATATGACGCCATTTTGATTAATAAATTGAGAGAAAAGTATTGTAATAGTATTTTAATAGACTCCAATTTGAAATGCATTTAGAGAATTACAAAAATAAAAATCGAAGATTAAGCAATTTGGGAATTGTTATAAATTTGCCGTATCAGAATAATTTATTGGTGGGTGTTTCAGAAATTTTATTATTTAGAGAATATTTAATTTATAAGATTTCAATATTTGCTTATTGAATAAGAAAACTAAAGTACTTCTCAGTAATATTTATGCATATTTGTATCCTTATTCTTCAGATTAAGAAAATCCTAAAATATCTTAATTTGGAAATTGAAATTTCTAATACTTAAATTCTATATTTTCATTTTAATTAACAATCTAATCTTTAATGAATAAATTTTCAAAATTATTTAAAATTTTCAATAGATTCTTTTTCAAATAGAATTTTTTTTTGCTTTGTAACAGAATGCTATTGAACTATGTAAAAATAAATGAATGAGGTGAATTATAAAGAAAAACGTCAAAAGAATATATGAAAAATGAAAAATTACATATAGAAAAAATAAACATATTAAATAATAGATTTGATATTTAGAAAGGTTATGTAAAAATGTCAAAATAAAATCAAAAGAAAATTGTTTTTGTAAATAAACTAATAGAGGACAAATGGAAATTTTATAAATTTTTCTCAAATGAAAAGTATAAATTAGAAAATTAAAATATTAGAGGTTAAAATAACCAATTGAATAAAAACTTCTAAAGTATGATACATGTATCAAATATTTGTTGTAACTGGAACTGGGATTAAGTGTCTGCAGTTTCAAAATAAATTTAACTTGATATTTATTGTATTCAAAACAAAAGAATGAAGTTATCAGTTACAAGAAATTGCAATATAAAACTTTCAGCATTTATATAAAAATTTCAAGAACAATAATTTTACCGTGAACTAACCCCATTTATGTTCATTTTTCACTTATTAGCATATTATAATTTTCAGTTCTATAAATTTACAAAAATTGCATATGTTAGGGAGCAAGTATAATTAAAGTAATTTACTTAGATATTGTGTCATATAATTCGCAATTATATTTAATTAATAGAAAAATCTAAAATTATTATTTAATAAGAAAATATGTATACCTTAATATTATATAATTATCGTAATAGATCGTAGCATGATGTTAAGCAAAGTTTTTTATTAAAAATATGAGACGTGCGTTGAAATTTTAAGTTTTTCTATGTTCAAAATTGTTCTTGAGTGTATAATATATATGTGGCTTGCTGCATGGTGATTTACCGGAATTATATTTCACAAAATTAAAATTTCACAAATATTAATTATACAGTAAACAAAATTATCTTAATTATGTAGAATAATAAAAAATTATACTTACAGTATATATTTTTTGAATTTCAATGAAAATGTTATACAATTTTAGCTTTGATCTGAAATTAAAGAAAAACAAAAACACGGTTACACTGATAATTAAAGAAAATTCTTAAAATGAAATTCTGTATACTTGGAATTTTTTATAAGATCCTATACACTTTAAGAATATTTTATTATAAAATTTTTGAAATTTAATTTTAATCTGTTTTTACAATATTATATAAAATGCACTAGAAGTAAAAAGAATAAAAAACTATAAACTATTATAACTATATTTTTTCCTCCCTTCATGTAATTATATATAAAAACCACGAACAGCGCATATTAACAATATATGAATATATATTATTAATATCCATATACGAGTAATACGTACATACATCCAAATATAGATGTATAAATTCTAATAAATAGATTCATATATGTATATTTATTGAATACATTCTGACAATAAATAATTTATGTGAAACTTGACTTGGTTTTAGCTTTAGATGTATACATAACATGTAACATAAATACATATATAAAATGTTAAACTATAACGTGAAATGTTTATAAACGAAACCAATAAATATTAAAAAGAAAAAAGAGAGAAGTAAAAAAAAAAAATGTATTTTCTAAAACCACAAGAAAAAAAAATATTCGAAGATCATTTATACTTTTTTTTTTTGCTGTGTTCTCTTGCCTATAAAATTGATGTTTCTTTCATCGAATATCCTTTTTACATAAGTACTGTTATTGAATGACATAATAATGTGAACGTTACGTAAAGAAAAAAAAATATTTTAATATATTAGAGAAACTCTGCAGCACAATTTCAAATTTGACTCTACACCAACAAAAAAACTGGTTTATAGTACGTAAGAATTCCTATATTGAAAAATAAAAGAACGAGAAAGAACGAGAGTAGATATGGTTGGCCATTTCAACTCTGTGATTACGGTACGAATAAATGACTTTAAATGTCCCAGAAAATTGACACACAGTTTCATACAATCTCTTGCTTTTTATGTGTCTATTGCTATTTTATACATATATGGAAATTACCATATAAACCTGTATAATCTTAATGATGGTCAAATCACCAAATTCTTTTGTTCAACATTTCAGATTGGTAACTTCAACAGTTCTGAGCTTCTGAGCTATGAACAAACAGCTTCTAAAGTTGTATGGCAGCTAGAACAAACAATCGAGAAATTTCAACGACTTTTATCAATAATAACTGTCCTAATAATATATTTACTTGTGCAAATTTTTAAAACTATACGATGAATAATTTTTGAGATATGGTAAAATTATTGTTGTTGGGTGTATGCCAGCTACTCGAGCTAGTACCTTGATCATATCCAATTTAAATATTGTTCTGGTAATTGCTGCTATAAATCATTTATGAAAATTTGGTGAGCTTAGCTCAATTAATTTTTGAGTTATCGCTGAAACGGACGGATAGGACGCTGGGTAAAAACATGTACTTGAATTTATACCTCAGCCCATTATTTCTTAGCATTACAAATGATAAGGCAAACTTAGTATACCCTTCGAACATTCGTTCGTATGGGTATAAACAACTATATTATCTACATAGGTATTTAAAGAGGCAAAACTAGTTAGAGGAATAACTTTATTTAGTCTGCTTCTTATATTTTAAATTTCATATTCGAAATAATCAAAATCTCTGCTTGTATATAGAATTATGTGTAAAATTAATTCAAGTTCCAGTTTCTTATAATTTCTATATAGAAATAATTTATTTTACAATCTGTATTTTTTTGCCTATATCCAGGAAAGAATTTATTATAGTCTGTTTTAGTTTAGAATTTTTTTATTTAAATGTGCTATGTAATATTGGACAGCAGCATAAATTAAAAACGATGTTTAACGTTCTAAATAAATCAAATGTGATGAGCTGCTATTTAATTTTCATATTTGACACTTCAAATCACATGACTTGTTACGGTTGTCTATATTAATATAATTCTGTTTCGTTTCACATTTCGTAAGCAATGGTTTTACGTTTGACCAACAGCTTCAAATTTCAAAATATTTAATTAAATACGTTCGGTGTGGAATTCAATAATTTCAAGTTTTGGACTTGTCAGTTCAAACTCGAACGTATGTTATGACGTCGACCATTAAACATGTAATTATTGATATTTTGGTTCAAAATTCGATCCTCGAATATTTTCAGCAATGTAGAGTATGTGGTTATAATGTTTTACCTTTGAAGACTTATTTCGTTCAATCGGTGTATATCGAATTATATAAAACTAAGAGTTATCTTTGTAAACATTATTGGCGCAACAAAAAATTTTCCATTTGACTGCTTGGCAAAATGTATTTGCCATTGAACTAAACCAATAATTTAAGTGATTTATTTCTAAATATTCTATAGTACACAGACAATAAAGAATTATTGGTAACCTTCTTATGAAATTTATAATGTAAATAATGTATTTTTTCTATTTTATTATGCATGTGGCATTTTTACATTGTTCTTTGGCTTATTTATGGAATATTTTAAATATTTTATTATTCTATTGAAGTTTTTCATTTGAAAGAAGTTTAGAATCTATTTCAATTTAAAACTAAATTATTATTTCAAGAGATTTGAAGTAATATAAAAGTTGCATATACAATGTGATAGTATGTTTGTGTATATTCTTTAATGTTTAAAATTTTAAAGAACAAAATGGTAGATAATATTCACATTTTTGCTAAGGATTGCAACTTTTCTTTAAAATTCTTTAACATTTTTTAATTTTGCAAGTTTTTTATAAATATATTGTGGATATATAGTTGAATATAGGAAAGCATACAATCATAAAAATAAGAAATAATACAATCAAATTTTTAAACATGAATTAATTTGCAAAATATTGTTATATAGTGCGTTAATAAAAGTGCGTATGCAATAGACAAATTTGAAATATTTTATACTTCTAACCTTCACATAGAAATTTACCCCATTTAATGAATAGAATTTGAAAATAGTAGTCTTTAAAAAGTTCAATCTTTAAATTTCGTATACAACATTTAAATATACATATAATATTTTGGCGCCGGAGAAACGAAAATATAATACAAGAGAAAAAACCCAAAAAATTAAATTTTTAAATTTTAATTAAAATTAATCTTAAGTTTTACATAATAATGCGCCGTTAATATTTTAAATATCATAGGAAAATTGCATAATAAGCAGGGGCGATATGAAAAAAAATTTATTTTATTTTAACAAAAATGACTACAATTTCCGAATTCTACTCATGGTATTGTTTGTCTGCATAACCTCAAAATTTTCAAATACAGAAATTTTTTTTTTCTTGTAGCAAAGTCATTCAACGAGGTAGGCGCTCAGCTTCTTGATAGTCTGAGTTATTTTTCAAAATTTTTCGAGAGCTCTCCTAAAACTGTACCCATAAAATTCTAAATTACAATCATATCTGCACCATGTCTCAATGGTTTTTCTCAAAGCTCAATATCAATTTTTGTATGTCAATACTTATAGCTTTAATTAAATTATGCTGAAATTGAAGTAAAATATTTGACAGAAATACCGAACAATTTATATTTTTTTTTATGAATCGAAAAAAAAGAGAATATAAACGAAATTAAGAGGCTGAATGCTATGAGCGATTTTCCATTTTATTTTTTTTTCCTTCCATGATAAAGACAAGTAAGCTGTTATGAACAAAATGAGAGGAAGAGCAAAACAAAAGATTTTGAATTTTTTTCTTCACTTATTCTATTTCCGTTCACAAAGATAAATGAGGCCTTCATAAGGCGGTAGTACAATTTCTTTTAATGTATGTATCCACGTATGTATGTTGCATATGTTATTCAAAAAATTGGTGAGATGAAAATGAAGAAAACAAAAAAGAAAAATAAATGAATTGAACAAAATAAAAATTTTTCCTTTCTTAGTGTTTTTGTTTTTTTTATTTTGCGAAAAAATTATTGAGAGTGATTGTTAAATAACCCATAGGCAGGCAGGCAGCATTTATTATACCAAAATGGAAATATATTTGATTTTATAGTTATAAAAAAAAATAAAAATAAATAAAATAGAAAAGGAGAAAAAAAAACTGATAATTAAATTCAAGGTTGGCTACGCTATAGGGGTTTTATTTGCTTGTATGAATGTTTAAGGGACTATAATAAAATATCAAAGAAGAAAAAAAAATCGAGCTAAATTTTATATGTTTCTTGGAACTAAAATTCCATACTTCTTAGTACGTATTTATGTATGTATTAATATTATACACGTGAAGTCATTAATACAATACAATACAATGTTTGGTTGTTGTTAAACAATTATACACAGTAAAAAATTTCATACAGAAAAATAAAAGAATGCCGTGATTTAAAAATCGGAGCTTTTTAATATAAAATATGTTAACAAATTTTCCATCTTACAAAATTATATTAAATTAAATTTGTATTAAGAAGAAGTTTCTAGTTAGTACTGCTAATCGCGATTAAAAGATTGCTGTGGATACTATTAATTCTTTTTAATTTACGTAAGCCCCGTTTTAGAAGTACGAATGTCAGCTCTGGTCTCCTCTTCGGTCTCGATATAGATCGTATTGAAGCTATGCTTAAAGGTTTCTTTCGTTTTGCTCTTTATGATATGGATTGGTCGGATCTATTTAAGTTGCTCCTTTATAAAGGTAGACTTCAGCTTTTGGACTTAAGGTGATTTCGTTGTCGTAGGGTGGTTTCTGATATAGTTTTCATTCATCAATATGTGGCGGGTAACGTTTTTTTGTTTGGTTATATTGGGTCGAATTTCTTACATGGAAAATCTCAGTAACTTAAGGTTAGTCTCAGTAACTCAAGAGCTTTCAATGTTCCGCGTCATAATATGAATTATGGGATGTATGAGCTAATGACGCGTATGTTGCGCGAAATTAACTTGTATTTGTTTGTTTTTTTTGTACAAATATAAGTAAGCGAGTTTCTGGGTGTCCTGACTATGCGGTAGAATTGATTTTGTTTAATTTTTTTAATTCTAGTTTACGTAACACTTTTTACTAATTCGCAATGTGGTAGCTTCTTT